TGCAGGTGTCGGGCCTGCAGCAGCACTTTTTGGGGATATTTCCCTTAACCCCACAGCTTTAACACGGCACACCCTCTCGTCCTGTGCGATCACCCCAGCAAGCCTGGTGCTGGAGGTTGGCTTTCCCCATCACCCCTCAGCTCCATGGGGCTGCCGGGGCAGCTACCTCCCTCCTGTGCTCCGCAGCCCCCATGCAGGTCCCCAGCCTCATCAGGGGGCTTTGGGACTACACTGAGCTGGTGCGGGCCATCCCCTCCCATCAAGGGACTGCTACAAGTCAGTGGGTAAAAAAGAAAAAAAAAATTTATTGTGCAATCTGCACCTTTCGTCCCTAACTACACAGGCTCTAGACAACATAAATAGAGGGACTGGACCGGCAATAAGGTTCCCTTGTGATCGGCAGGGTTGGAAGATGCTGGTTCCTCAAAGAGGGGCTACAAGCCCTTGTTTCCATCAACATATACAATGCAGTGTAGGTCTAGGCAGCATACACATATACATACTCATATAAATTTCTGTTTGTGGGGTGGCATTGGCCACGCACAGCATAATCACATTATACACAGGGTGTGTTACACCGCAGCACCGACTGCCAGCTGGCCACAGGCTCTGTGCGTCTCTGGTGTCTCCTTTGCTCTTGAGCGGGGCCTTGCCAGGGGCCGAGCGCTGCAGAGCCCCGGCACTGCCATGGCACCCACCACGTCAACGGGCAAGGAGGCACGGTGGCTGCTCGAAGGGCAAAGGGATCCATGCTCGTGGCCTCCTTCCTTCAGTGGGACCACAACATGGCTTTGGGCGGTGGAAGACATTTCTTCAGCCCAACTACACTGCGTGGCCCAGGAGCAGCTGTGAGCAGAGGTGCCCCATCCACCAGCCCCTAGCCTCCTCTAGCCCAAATTTGGTCTTTGGAGCTTTTCCTCTCAAAACCACCTTTGCGGTGAAGATGCACATAAAAGCTCTAAGCAAAAAGTGCCATCTCACAGGTGCTTCCTTGCAGCGGCCCAGGGGCCCACAGGCTGGCTAACCTCTCCTGTAATTCATGAGGAAACTATCATAGAGCAGTATCGGAGGACTGCGTGGTTCCTTGTGTCCCAGTCTTGCAAAGATGTCACCGTGCCAGGAAATAAGGGAGACCAGTGGCACTGGCCCACATGGAGTGGGCTGCCTGCCTGGGCAGGTCAGTCCAGTCCATGGTGACTGGGGCGAGACCAGGACACAAGCAGAAGCTGGAGAGGGGTCTCACGGGGAGCTCAGAGCCCACTGGCCAGAAGCCCTGCTCCCCATCAGAGCTTGTGCCACGAGCGAGTCTCCCGCAGCTGGAGCTCTGCTGCAAAGAGACGGCACTGGGCAGACTAACACCGAGGGCTCGGCACCTGGAGAAGGTCCTGGGCACACATGCCATCCTGGCTCTCTGGCACCAGGCACTAGGGCTGGGTGAACCCGCTGGCACACTGGGACAGGGTATCTCAGCAAGCACTCAGCATAAGCTAGGAAACCCTCTGGACCAGGGCAGCCAGTGTAGATGTGGGGAACGGTGTGGGATGCTCACAGGACGCTCGCCCCAGCAGAGCTGACGGGGTTTGGGGCAAGCTGGCACTTCTGCACCCACACACGAGGACCTGGGCTACTGAGTGAGCCCACCCTCAGTCCCCAGCTCAGCATGGCCCCCGGCTGCAGACAGAATGGTGGCCCCATGGCAGGACGGCAGCTTTGCACTGACCAGGGTGAATAGGCCCAGGATGGAGCTGCAGAAGCCATGGCAGGACAGGCTGTGCCCCTCCTGGGAATTTGGGGAGAAGTGGGCTGTGATGGCTCCCAACACCCCACCCTGGGGCTCCCCCCTCTCCAAAATAATGACCCCAAAACCAAGTAGCAGCAAGAGACATGTTTGGGAGAGCCAGCCCCCACGGTGCCCCTGTCGTGGCTCCCCTGCTGCTACTCAAAGGACAGTAAATCGGGATGAGGCCCCTCCACCTCCCAGCCAGGGGTACGTGGCTCTGGCCGCCCTGTGCTCCCCAGTGATTCGTGCTCCAGCCCCGGTCTCCGGGAGGGCTTCTCCATGCAGGGTGAGGTCTCAGTGGCCCTCTCGCCTGCTCGCCACTGGCTCTCCAGGCTGCCCTTATGGATGAGGTCAGGCACAGGAAGGGCACCAGTGGGCTGGTCCCCACTGGGCTCCGGGGTGCCCATCATGTTGGGGACCCCAGGACATTCTGGAGGGGACGGGTCTCTCATCCCCGACCGCTCCTCTGCAGGGTCAGGGTGGGCTGTAGGTGGTTCGGGGGGCTCCTCTATGCTGCTCCTTGGGCTGGTCCCCGCCGGCTGCGGCGCGATGAGCATGTCCTGTGGAGTCTTCAGGGCGCGCGGCGTCCGCTTCTTGGTGACGGGGGGGGGGGGGGCCCGCCGGGG